GTTAATCCACTAAAGTCTCTTTGATTATACTTGTCACAAATCTCCTTTCTCTCCTTCACTACTCGCCCTACATCCTTTTCTTTTTGTTCAACATTCAAAAGGTTAGCATCAGATCTGCTAGACCTTTCCTACCGCACCTACGAATGGTAGCCAATGGTGGTAAAGAGTTTAATTGCTGTTTAGAAATGAGCGGGAAGAGAGAGTGGCAGCGATGAGGCTCTCTGATCGAAATCAATGGTTGCTTTGTGGTGTTTTTTGAAAGATTTTCATTCTCGGAGTTGTTTCCGACTTCTCAAAACGCAATGCTCTTTGGAAGACATAGGCCCGTAGTAAAGCTCGATCAGTTGAGGTGAACTCAACTTATCCCATCAGTTCACCTTAGGTGAGGTGGACTGATCACCGTCCACGTTCCCATGCTATAAGATGGTCAAGTCAACTAATAGTTGACCATCTGTCCACTTGCCGCAGTCAACTCTTCCACATCAGTTCACGTTCAAGTCACCTCAACGTGAACGGATGTTAGAGTGATCCAAATAGTGTGTAGAAGAGGGGACGCAGACAAGAGGTGACTGCATTTAACATAAGTTGCTCCTGAGTAACTTACAATACACACAACTTTGCCAAAAAATGCAGAAAAAATCGGCGCAAAACTGCACAATACCGGCGCCCGAAAAGGGAAGGATCGATGTACAGCTGATTTTGGCGACAAAAGCAAGGATAAAAGTTTTCTTCTTTTTTTTGCAGAGCAATCTTAGTTTCTTGTAAAAACTACTTTAGAAGAGAATCTACTTATTTATTACGTTTTATTTATGTTCCAAAAATTTCAGTTTTTCGTGAATTCTCCGTCAAAATATGTCAGTTTTGTTTTATCTGTCCATTTGCTAAGTGATATCTTTGTTAGCGGTCATCATCGACTTTTTTCGACAGTGGCCGCTATCAAAGATTGTCCGGCGATGCAGCAAAAGTTGTGGAGCTAGCCGGTGTCGAACCACGACCGCGCGCGTGTGATTCCAATCGCTTATCCGTTTGACCAGACCAACTCAAGTGGTTGGTTTTTTGAGAACACATGTGGTTATCATGTCTAGGAAGCGATCCACATCCAAATCAATAGCTCACTGAATGCTGGACTGAAGCGCGATGACCTCAACTCCGGTCCGCGTCGAGAGAGATGCCCGGATGGGGGGTTTACTACGGGCCATAATCACCTATCTATTGTACATGGTGAGAGAAATTTTAGGAGAGGGGGACGCGAAACAAATTGTTTTCAAGGGACGCCCAATTAAGGTTCCGAAAAAATACAAAGCTAACAGGCAAAATGCACAAAGCTTGAGAAATTTTTTGATTATTTACATGTATTAATAACTCAGTTGCAGGTTTTCATTGCCGCAATTGGCACTCATTTCCCCTCTTCCTCCCATGCGTTGATCATCAATTTGAGATGTGTTGACAAATATTAAACAGAGTCAAGAAAAAGGTGATTTCATCTGGAGTAAATGAGATTTTTTTCCTGTCGTTTTCCTTTCAATACAGAGATTGAACTCGGATTGATACAGAGGAAGCAAAGATTCACCTCGGCCAAGATGACAAGCAAATTACTGTGCCTCTGGCACTAACTGAAGACAAAGTACAGAATTCTCTGTTTCCGTGTTTTTCTACACGGTGAGCTTCCATAGCTTAATCAGTTCCTAGAGTTAACAATTGCTGAAGTAATCAATTGATTAATTGATTAACTAGTTACTGTGTTGAATGTCTATTGTGTAATGAATGGAATTGAAGGGAAAATACATGAACAGGTAACGATGTACGGATAGTGAATAATTTTAAATGGACCTCCAACTGGACCTCCAAGATTTTATTTGACTTTGTTACATTTGTGCAAGGCATTAGGGCCTACAAAGAAAACACAAAGTATGTCACCAGAAGCAGTGGGACCACTTCCTGATATTTGGTATCCAGCACATGCGTACGACACAGTTTGGCCATATTTAACCACCAGCTGAAAGCTTTGTCAAATTTTGCATTGTTTGAAAATTGCAGCCTACTTGCACATGTGCTAATCAGAACGAGCTGAGAAAACATTATTAGAATTTGATTACGCTGTTGACTGGTCAAAACTTGATTTACTTAACAGGTCAACTAACCTAATGTGAGATGTGTATTTGTGCCTTAATTCTAAAAAGGTGAAAATCGTTCGACAAAGATTTCGAGCGCGAAGAGATCTTCACAAGAAGTTGATGTGAAAAAAGCCATATTATTCACTGAGGACAACTGCGCGATAAGAATGAATACTGTTCAATGCCGTCTCGCATTTTTTTCCACCCGCTTCTGCTTCCAGCAACGTTCCTTTTTACCTTATCTTTCCAAATATAATCCCAGCTGGATAAAAGGCAAAAAATCACAACAATGCACTTTCCGATACTTCACGCGTTTCTTCTTCATAGTGCTCGAAGATCTGTTTGTAACAAAGAAGAAGCATGTTTTCTTGATTGCATAGAAAGAACAACACATAACAAGAAAAGGATATTGGAACCGAATTCCCCTTAGAAAGCGTGCTTTGAAATGAAATTCGGCGGATTTCAACTAAACCGTGTAAGACCCGTTTCCATGTTTTGAGAAGAACAGCAGCCGAGAACGCTGCCATGCTCTAAATTCACCCTATGACAAAATTTCTTCACGAGGTTACGCGGCTCTATGTATTGAAAGGTAAACCTATCAGATGCACAGCAATCTAGTTTACAAGGCAACGCATCGTATGACCTGCGGGATAGACCTGATTGTAATTACATTCAATGATTACTGATGAATGATTTTAATTGAAAAATTTTCAAATTATTTTGTGAATGGTCATGTTGGTGGTAGTATGTGTACTTATATACCACAAAATTTATCTAGGATACCAGTTCCAAACGCTTTGTTGGATACAACGCCAAAGAGATTTCGTTTCCTACATCTATCTATTAATTTCAGAAGCAAATAAAAAATTGGATTTTCAACATTATTCTTAGCCATCAACATCCGCTTACCGTTAGAAACGTCAAAAATTGAAAGTTTCGATGGCCGACTCGACAGAAGGAAAATATTATGGTATGACAAAATAAGTGTTCAAGCATGGACCCAATCAAAAAGGAAGGAAGACATCAGTATCGGCATAGTTAGCACTTTGAAAAAATGTATAGGCTTCAACTTCTTTATATACGGAATTTGAGGCGTTGAAACTAACCATACAGTAGCAAAATTTTGTAAAAAGTTGTTTCAAAAAGATATCTAGTAGAAAATATCAGTTTCAAGGACAGGGCTCGGCACGAGGTGGCTTACAAGCAAGCTGGATATCGTTTTTGGGACGAAAAGCAAAGGGGGTTTCGTTTTTGTGACCGAAGAGACATAGAAAATTGGCGACGGCGACCTTTTTTTTTAGTCGACGTTTCGTTTTTTGGGGGATTTTGGGGAATTTTTCAGGTTTTTAGAGGAAATTTGGTTGAGGGTCAAAGGGGACTTCCTAAAAATTCCCAAAAGTCAAGGGGGACTTCGTTTTTTCTATTTTCATCTAGCCACCTCGTGCCGAGCCCTGTTCAAGGATGTTTCTTTGTTTTAATTCGCGGATTGTTTTACATATCACATTTCCAAGACTAATATAGCTAATTAATGAACTGACTAATAAAATAATCCCAGTAAAACATACAAAAGCAGAGTTTGAAACTGATAAGTATCAATGCTAAGGCGAGTAGTAGAACCGAAAATTCTTCATGTTTTTTTGCGAGCACATCACGGATGTCGTGTTTTTTATTGCGAAATCAACGGGCTTCGTTCTCAAAAAAGTCACCTCGTGCCGAGCCATGGTCATAGATCCACGGCTTGCAGCTGGCACATTTACAAGAATCTTTGAGCGCGCCAAATTCGTCCTTGGCCGCGCAAACGTGGGCCAAACCATACTTCAGCGTTAAGGTGTTCTATACTTAAAGGCTACTGCATAACGAAGGCGCAGAAGCAGTATTAGTTGAGCGGACGCGAACGCGACGCACGCGTATTCTAACCGTTGTAAATCCTGCGCTTCATGCGCTCTACGGGCGGCTAATAAAGCCGCGTTTGAGCCCAAAGTATTGCGCCTTCGTCATGCAGCATCCCATACATATTTAAATCATTTTCAAAAAATTCTAAAACCAAAATTTCATTCTATTATCCAAAGTTTTACATGCAGTTTCGTAAAACGAAGGGACTACTGAGAGATATCATTGAAACCGTTGATAGTAAAACGAGGAAACCAAAAACGGATCGCTAACTTAGCATTCGTAATCCACTTATTCTTCAAAGCATTCGCGATCCATTTATTGTTTAACTTTTCAGAGAAATTTGTAAAGTCTTTGGTAATGTCCAAATAAGACGAAAATTATGAGTTGGACAATTTGGCTTGCGAAAAACTGGTTGAGATGGAACCACACGCTTCCGCGAAATCAAAGCAGATTGTAGCAGAAAATTGGAAATGTTTATATGTAACTGGCTTTTGAGTCAATAATCAAATTTTTGGACCAATAATCAAATTTTTGGATTTCAAAAACCGGAATCGGAGAGCACGCGAAGAAGACAAGCACAGTTCTGATCATGCTTCCACTTTTAGGAATAAATTTACGGAGAAGTCGCTGATGAGTTTAGTTATCTGCCTTAATGCCTCCTTTCAAGGAATTTTGAGTTGTCAAGCTTCTGGGATTTTTGACAGACTCAAAATGTTCAAACTTCAAATTTTCACGTTTTGGAAATTCTCAAAATTCAAGCATGGCGTTGACGACCAGATTTGCCAATTTCGAGTGCTTGGGATTTCCAATGCAAAAGTTACCGCATCTGATACTGGGTGCACGAGCGCTTCTTACACTCAAGAAAGACCATCGAAATATGTAGACGTACCGTTGTTATTATTTCCGGTGTTCTTATCGACAAACTCATTGCAGATGCCCATGAGAATTCTCTGCAAGTTCGAATTCAGGGGTAAAATATACTATGTAGTTGGATTACTTTTCATAGCGTTTGTCCGTGACGACAAGACGGCCGTAAACTTCATGTTCTTTATGTCTGGACCTGGTCGCGTTAGACACGATTGCGGTCAGGTACTGCATATATTCTCGGCAAAAGAACTGCAAATATACAATTTTTTAAACATTTGCAGAAGCTTTGCAAATTATCCTGTCCTGTTTCTTCGTAGGAACAAGTATAACGAATTTTGCATGGTTGCTAGCCACTCACCCACGCTGTGCCCGTCAATGTAGGTTGGTTCCCGAGAACAGTTGGCACGTGAGGATTCAGCTGGTTATTGAGGTCCGACGTCTCCGGTTTTTCCGCAGGCTTAGTGGGGAGCTCTTTAACAGGGATGTGGAACGCCTAGAATTGGTAGACCTTTAATAAACACAACAGAAAACGCTTTAGTTTTATTGTATTCAATGTGTAAGATCCAGTTTGGGTCCTACCATTACGATGAATATAATAAATATAATAAAAACCCGCTTAACCTTTTTGAAGTCATTTAGCGCTTCCAAATCACCTTCGTATTCATCAAGGGTTCCACTTTGCTTCTGAATTTCAATTTATGAAAGTCATTCATAAGACTTCAATTTTACCTCAGTTTGAGTTAGACGCAGCTTCACAGTCTTCTCTTTAGGATGGAATTGTGTCTTCACACTGGGTGGTCTTTTTTGTGACTAAAATTTATTATTGTAAAGATATATGTAGCATTTAAGTGTTACCTGTGTTTTAATTGGCTGTAGCTGCATCGTTTTGTCAATAGATTGATCTAGCTCCCCCTTTTCGGCTTGAATTATCTCCTTTAACTGAGGTATGTGGCTTAGCTGAAATTCACCATTGTGAAGGGTGCCTATAGGACCGAAGCTTTACATCTTCTGCCCCTTCAATTCCTCCCTCTTCTTCGTCCTCGTCGTCTTCATCGTCTTCACTGCTGTCTTCGTCTTCGTTGTCATCAGATGTTCCACTTCCGTCCTAAACGTCACAATCTTAAAGTTTGTTTAAAAACTAAATGTTACCTCAATCGAATCATCTGGCTTCACGGCATCCTCCTTATTGGACTCGGTTTGGGATACTGCTTTAGTCTCCTCCTGAACCTTAATGTGTTGAAGTGTATCATAGTTGTATGAATACTTGTACTCTCTTATGTCTTGAGTGTCACCTGTTTACTGGGCTCTTCAATCTTCTTGGCTGCAGGTTGCACAATTTGATGCTTCTAAATCCCACTATCATAAAGACTACTTATGAATCTAAGATCTGATACCATAACTGTGTCCTCCACCACCGATTCAACTCCAGAGGTCTCCGAGAAAGTGGAGTAAGATAATGTCGTCATCTAAAAGAATATGATTTTCGTTGTAAAAAAGTCATGAGGGAGTCGCTTACACTCAAGAGCAAGAACAAGCTTAGCAACTCCATTTTTGACACACTGGTTTGCTCAACCGACTACTTTATATACTCAACTGAAAGCTGACTTTCAATAAAACTAATCTTATGATTGCTTACGAGCCGGCTGTTCTTTCTACATGCCAGTACTGAAGGGAATGTACTAGATCTGAACTCTGTGGTGACATGTATCACAGTTGTATGTGTACTTGCAAATTCCAGATGCATTGCTCCTGCATCGGTATGAGAGGACGTTGATAATTATCAGGTTGTTCCTAAGTTCCGTGCGTTTTGATTTTCAATAGCAATAAGTCGTGCACTTCTTGAATCTGAATAGGCTTTTGAATACCATTCGATAGAGCTAAGCAAGCTCTGCAACATGGCGTTCCTACTTTTGCACCTGCTTTGATCCAATTTGAGTTCGAAGCTAAACACTAAAATGATCCAAAAGCCCGAAAAGCGAGAGAAAAATTTCCTCCAAAAAAAAATCCTACAAAATTTCTAACTTGCTCACTTGAGTTCAAATTACATAAGACATTTATATGTGCCAGTGCCGGATCTTTTCTATGATCTTCATGATTTTGTCGAAATGATGCTGTGCTGTACCTACACAAGTAATCGTATCCTACTAGACTGTAGCATTACGAAGACAAATTCTCAGCTCTCCAGAAGCTCTAGTTTTTGAGAAATATGGATTCTAGCCTAAGTCAGCCGACTAAGGGAAGCTAAATCAAATAATTTTTGAAAACTTGAGCTCTTGAAGAGGTGAAAATTTGTCTTTGTAATCCTACAGTCTAGTAGTATACGACTACTCGTGTAGAGACAGCACAGCTTTAGTCTGACAAAAGCATGAAAATTTCCTTTTTATTAATTCTAACCAAAAAAATACGGCAATGGCGTGTTTAGTTATCTTATATGAGTAGTGTTTGAGTGAGCAGTAGAATTTTGTAGGATTTTTTTGGATGGAGTTCAGATTTTTCCTTGATTCGTACAGTTAAATCCTTTCAGTTTTCGGCTTCAAACTCGATATGAATCAGATCTGGTGCAAAAGCAAGAAAGCCATTTTGTAGAGGTTGCTTGTCTCTATCGAATGGTACTTTGAAATATTAGGTTGTCCCGAAAGTTTTGTCCGTTTTTTCAACCTATCATAAAAACGGGTGGAACGAAGATAGGGAAACGCTCTAAGCACTATCCGACGCATCTTTTCCTTCTCTTTCTAATTGTCATGCTTCCATGCCGATTAATCTTTTGTTCACTGAGATAAACGCCGAAATTTCGAACCCATGGTTTTTACTATATCCAAGTTGGGCAATTTCTCACAATCTTTATTCTTGACTTTCGGAAAAGCTTTGACAACAGTTAGATAGAGCAAACAAAGGGCAATATAATGCAATTACACGGCATCTATAGCCAGCATTGAAAATTTTTTAGAATTATTTTTCTGATGCTATCAAATTCCACTTTTGATGATGCCAAAAGTCAGAGATCATGAAGCGGCGCACAACTAAGGTGTTATTCGATGCAGCTTTTCCTCCTCTTTCAAGTGAGTGTATTTTCTCTCCAATTTGCGGAGTCTTTAGCGATAAAATTTTCATAATTCTTGAATTTGGCCTCACCCCAGCGTGTACACTTAAAATGCAAAATCTTATATTTCGAAGCGGTAAACGCTCATTTGCTTCGTAAAAATAGTGAGTAATCGTAATCGGTGTTTGAATGCTTCAAAATCCGATGGTTTGTTAGTGCTCGAGAAGTTTCTGTATTTTAGAACTTCGCAAAAGTGAAGACTTTTGAAAAAATTCTCTTTGAAAATGTTGGAAAGCCAGCTAGATATGCCAAATAATTGCATTGCATTGCCCTTTGCTAACTCTATCTGAAGGCTATCAAAAGTTTTCCAAAAGTTGAAAATGAAGATTGTGAAAAATTGTCAAACTTAGACATAGTAAAAACCAAGGGTTCGAAATTTCGGCGTTTATCTCAGTGAGCTAAAGAGTAATCGGTATGTGGGCTTAACGTTCAGAAAGAGGAGGAAAAGATGCGTCGGATATTGCTTAGAGCGTCTCCCTATCTTTGTTCCATATATTTTTATGATAGGTTGAAAAAACGGACAAAACTTTCGGGACAACCTAATACATTTAGCTGTAAGAAGTACACGATTTCTTGCAGTTGAAAGTCAGAACGGACACTCATGGAACAGCCTGATAACATACACGTTTAGTTCATCTAACGCATGCTCATGTATCCTGCTAGCATTGGCGTACCGAGGGGAGGTCCCCTTCCCCCTCTCGAGAATTGGCAGTTAAATTTTTGAAAGTTATCTAGATGAGTTAGTTTGTGCAAGTGACTTCTTTATACTTGTAAATAACTGAAATAATTTTCTAAATTTTTTAAAAATTCAATGCAACATCATAAAAAACTTCTTCGGTGGCGTAGCTAACGCCCCGCTCCCTTTTTCTGAAATTCCGAGCCCGCGAAAATTTTAGCAAACATGCCAAAAAAATTTTTGGAGTGCATGGCTAAGTTTGGTCCCCCCCCCCTGTCCCCGAACGAATCCTGGGTATGCCGCTGCTTGTTCTATTTTTCATGAGACTGCATATTATATCAAATTTATCGGTCAGATCTCATCTACATGGTGACCTGTGACCATTCGTAATAAAACATTAATCACACTAAAGCGTCTTGTAAGTTACAAATCCGTTTTCTTTTTCTGTTGGACGATTGCTGAACTAAGCTATATGCTTTTTCCGCATACTTTTGTAAACTAAAGCACAGCCCAGTTACCAATTAATAATCGAGTTTTTGAGGATGTAGCATCACTTGGAAAATTATAACTTCTTGTTCTCTCAACTAATCTGCACAAACTTAATTTATTATTATCTAGATACTGAAACCCTTCTCTTTGCGACAGTACCTCTGCTGCTCTCTGATAAAAGGTAGCTTCGAGATGGAAGAGGAGAATAAAATTACTTCAACTTCGGTCATTTTGAGATAAGTAGCAAAAAATCTGGAACTCGCGATAAAATTCCGAACAGTATATATAGTAAGACTTTTATTCCACAATTTTCAACGATGCAAATTTTGTGTCAAAAGCGCATCTCTGTAAAGAGCTATGATTTCCAAAAAAATGCCAAAAAATCAAATTTGCTTTTCGTATTGTTTACGCAAAATTTATAACTCTTCATAAAGTTGCTCTTTTGACGCAAAATTTGCACTGTTGAAAATTGTCCAACAAAAGACTCATTATGCTCGGAATTTCATCGCAAGCTCCATTTTTTGCAACTTATCTAAAGATGATCAAAGTTGGAGTAATTTTGTTCTCCTACCTTCATCTCGAAGCTACCCTTACCAGAGAGCACCAGAGGCACTACCAGAGAGCACCAGAGGCACTATCACAAAGAGGAGGGTTTACTCTATCTAGCTAAATCGAAGGCAATACTCACCAGAATTTGGTTGTCGAGGTTTTTGCATATTGCAAACCTTTTCGTCTCTCTCTAACCCAATGCGATGTGAAAATAGCATAAAATGTACGAAATCCCTTTTCTTCAAAGCCCCGTAGAAGCAGCGCGGACGAGTTGTGCCTTCTCAGTCTAGCCTTTGCCGCAGTGGCAATAACACCATGGAGGTGGACGCCAGGTAAAGGGACATGTTAAAACGCGTAAGGAGGAAACCGGGAGCGTCAGCCATAAGGGCCAAATCGCGCTTTGCCGGACTTAGGAACAAATTTCTCGGCGCAGAGAGGAAAATTTTTTTCTTCCCGATGACAGGAACTACTTTGAAAAGTCTAAAGATTGTTGTGACTTGCTTAGCTGGACACCGGAATTGATATCCTTTATTCGACTATCGCTTCTGCGGTATCGCCTTTTTCAGAGTCTGAAGTTATCGAATGCTTAAAGGCAGTGTCTCACCAAAATTTAGGTGTCGAGATTTTTGCATTTTGCATGCCTGTCGGACCCTGGCTAGCACTGCATAGGCTTAAAATCGCACGAAGTTTCCAAAAACACCGTTTTCTGGAGGCCCCGTGGAAGGAACATGGACAAGTTGTACCTTCCAACTTCAGCCTCAGCCACAGTGGCAGCAACAGAGGAGAGGTGGATGCCAAGTGGAGGGACATGTTCAAACGCGTAAGGGGGGAGACTGAAGCAGTCGTCCGCGCGTACCAACTCGCTCTCCGCGTACCTTTGAGCGAATTTTTCTCAGCGTGGAGGGGGTCAAATTGAGTGGGACTTGTTGCAATGGCCTATTTAGAGGTCCCTATAATAGAATATGTGAAAATTCGCGCGACCTCAACTTTGGTGAGACACTGCCTTTAAGTGAACTATCCAGTCGAAAACCGCCTCAAGACCTAGGAAGACGCCCAATGCGTCAGTGAACCAAGAGCTCGAAAGTAAATGCAGGATCAAACCAATGCTTAAAGTCTTCGTAGTCTCAAGAGTTTCTGATGCATGAAAGTGGTAAGAAAAATTTTTTCTTTCCGAAAATGTATTGATTTGAGCACTTGTCTGCGTTGTTTGTCTTCTTCTATTTTTGACTTTACCTTCCAAAGAACATGTGTTAGCTAGAGTATCCCATGGTAATTTGTGAAGGTAGAAGACGAGAGAAGGACTAGCTATCGCTTGTGTTCAGTGCATTTAAAACCTTGAAAACCGATTGGTAACAAAAAAGATTGCTTCAAGAGAGAGAGTCGTCAGTCAAGTGGCAAAATGGGAACAACAAGCAATACTCAATCTCTCGAGTTTAAGTTATTAGGTTGTCCCCTAAGTTTTTTTCATTTTTGAGTTTTCGCTATAATAAGTCATACAGTTCGTATCCTAACTCTCAGACAAACGGCGAAAGTTCCGACGAACATTGAGGAAAGCTCCGGCGGGTCACCTGGGGAACTCCATTGTAAGTTCGTAGGAACTTCAACCCTGAAGCTCTCGGGAACTTCTTAAAGGATTATAGTTTGCCGGAACTTCTTCATCCAAAGTTCTCGGAAAGTTTCCAAAAGACTGTGGTTCACGGGAAGTTCCATTGTTGAAGTTCTCGGGAACTTCTTGCTTAATCTCATCCCAGCTAATGACCACTTCTAATGCGATTGCCATAAAGAACAGTCTATATATTTATTAACGAAGAAATGTTTGTTTCGCAGTTAACATAAAAACTCATCGAATAACTGAGTACATATACACGTAATGAGTATCTGTTGATAAAAGGACCAAAATTGTTTTCACGGCTGGCTGCCTAAGTTTTCACGGGTGACGTCTAAGTTTTCTTTCCAAGCGTCCGTGCTCATTGCCTCTTTGTCGGTGCGTCCAAGTCCAACAAGGGCCTTCGATTTCTGAAAGAATATAGGTATATAAATAAAAATGGGAGAAGCGGATTCTAACATACCTTCGGTGGAACAAGACGACCTTCGTGCAGGCGATAGTAGCGCACATCCTCGCTAAAAATAGTAACTACCGTTTTACGATGGCGTAATGTAGAAGTGGTGAACTTACAGCGCTTCAGCAATGCATGTTTTTGCGCTTACGCTCCATTTCGACTTTTTTCCAGCAGTAAATTAAAGGCTTTTTCACGGCCCTGCTCGTTTTCAGCTAACGACAGCCAAAAACTTTTTAAAAAATTTTAGCGCCTAAAATGCTTATGACAGGTATAGACAGCACCTGTTCGGTGAATTCTTTAGCAAATGCAGTCTGGATCCGTAGAGTTCGTTGTGATTCAAATCCAAAGCCTCCAAAATGTACTCTGCATTTTGTAACTCAATCACTTTCAACTTTGAATTACCTTCACCTTTGAGCGCATCAACAATGGAGTCGGGTAGATTGTTTATATCCGCCCTTCGAGCCACTTTTGAAACGCAATACGCCTACTTCCAAATATCAGAAGGGTCGGGTGCGCAGATCAGAGTGTAATTTACGTGGTGCTCATTTTGTTCCAGAGTTAAATACGCACCTCTTTGAGCAAAGTTCGCAAAAAATCGATGATTTCACTAAAGTAGCCTTGACTCTTTTTGAAGGGGCGTACTTCCTCAGAAACTCATTCAAATTGACTCTACAAATAAGATTCAACGACTTTTGCAAAAGTTGGTTCCTAATTACCTTGAATGGCGCCTGAAGGCGAATGAGGTGGTCCTGTCTCAAATTTTCGTACTTGAATTCGCTTGATGTATCGGGAAGCGGACGTTTAAAATGAGGATCTGTTTTAGTTTATTCACCTCATCCTCCAGTGCTCTGTTTTTTGCAATGCAAATTTATCTATGTCAATGTTCATCTAGCAAGTTCATCTACATTGCCAATGCCATTGCCATGACTTCTTTCTGACTGTGCTGGGCTGATCTACTCATTTTCGGATTCTGAAGAAGTGTTATATTGTTATGAAGTAGATGTTTCAGTTTTGTTTGAGTGTGGGCATAGCTGTTGGTAGTTAAGATATGCACTCAAGATACAAGATGACTACCGGTAAAATAACATTAAAAAAACAAAAAGAAACCAAAATATCACCGGCTGTCACTGCCTGTCACTGTCACCGGCTGTTCCAAGTAGCTTGGCGCGTGACTTAGTTTGCAGTCCATTAGTTTGCAGTCTATTTTCGTGCTTTGTACTTAGGTCAAACTGGACTACACTCGGCGCATAATTGTGGATAATGCAGTGACGGATGCCTATGGCAGAGATAGGATGCGAATACATCTAGATCTTAATTGCCCCGTGATGATAAAAAGAGGCTTCATCAAAAATCGTCTAACTGGGTGCATACCAAGACTAGGGACGCTTGTTAAATTAAGTGAATAGAGATAGAGATAGAGGTAGAGATAGATAGAGATAAGAAGAGAGATAACAGGAAGATAGAGAAGAGATAACAGGAAGAAAGAAGAAGAAGAAAATAAAACAGCCAAAAAGCGTCCCATAAATTTGAAAAAGGATAGAAGAGCAAAAGATGTGAACTACAACATCTGAGAAGACAAAATAATTGAGTGTTTACCTTCTTTTCTCTCAATTGGATCGTGCGAACAGCTTCTCCGATATGAAACTTGCCACTGCGCGTGTAAGCAGTCGTAAGCTGTCTCTCGACTTGCTCGTATCTGAAAAAGGAAAGTTCATTACAAACAACTGATAAATGAGACATGAACTTACCTCCAAACGAAATCCTGAAGTGCGGCGTTGTGTATCTCGACATCCGCTTCCTCAAGCGCGCGCCCTCGAAGCATGATCCCGCGCCGATCGGCTGGCTAGCACATACATTGTTCGCGGGAACTTTCCATTTAGTGTAGTTCACGGGAACTTTGCTACCTTTGCCAAAGTTCCCACGCGCTTCCTCCGGAACTTTGGATCCGCGGCTCCCTTGACGTCATAAACACGGAAACTTTGTAATTTCTATACCCCAATGGTTAACAAGGTCCTCCGGAACTTCAACAATTTTCGCATGTTCGCCGGAACTTCCCGCCGTTTGTCTGAGAAATAGACATCAGGATACCATTCAATAGAGCAAAACAAGCTCTATAAGATGGAGCTTATGATTTTGCACCAGATTCGATCCACCTCAAGTTTAAAACCAAAATCTAAAAAGATTCGCACCCAAAAAAACGAAAATTTTTTATATCTTCGTTCGGAAAAGTCCTACAGATCTCCCACTCGCTCACGCATACACATTCCACATCAGAGATTCATATGCGCTGTTGCTGTATTTTTTTATCAGCTAGAAATTACAAAATCGAAAATTTCCTTTTTACCAAAGTAAGTGATGCTGTGCTGTTCTTATATTGACGGTTCTATACTACAAGTCCTTAGAAGTACAACCGTGAAATTTTAGCTTTCTAAAGTGCGGTTCATAATTATACGAACATCCCAAATTTCACAAGTTTCTGGACTTTTTACAAGAAACCCAAAAAGCCGTTGGTACCAGTTGGCTGCGAAAGAGCACAGCCGGAAACGGTATGTGATTCAAAAGAATGGAAATCGATGTCAATCTTGAGAGTGTTTTTGCGCCTAATGCGAATTTTTAGCGGTTCAAAATTGTACGAACACCTCAAACAAAGTTTTATTTTTTGTTCGCGAGTGCAATCTTTCGAGTCCAAATTTTTTCTAGAGTTGCATTAACAAAGTCTGAGATATCTGCTACACCTGGACCCAGTGCAGTTCAAAAAGGGGAGCGTCGCTTATTCCACATGGCTCTAAATGCTTTTGGAGCCATTGCGCTTTAAAAACGTCCGTTTTTTTGTGGTTTACGCACTCTAACTAGATTTTACCAAGTCTATGAGATAAAATAAGCTTTTCGATAGATATTTTGGTTGGCGCTCGAAAAATCTTTGCATTTTCGTGCCGTTTTTCAACCAAGTTCCAACCTTACCCTAGAGTTGGCACGATTTCGAGCCTCAAAACTCAGCTTTTCTCTTGCGCAAGCATTTGATATGAAGCAGCTGCATTGTTTGCATGATGATGTATCCGTGCTAAAATTTTTGGGTTTTTTGCGCAACTAGTCTTGAGGCTACAAAGCTAAAAACCAAATAAAGGGGGATTGCAATAGTAAAAACAGTGGTTTTGGTGAAATGACGTCTGCGCGGCCGAAACAAACGCTCAACGCTGCTGATTTTTTTCTAGCCAAATACGCAGTTTTATGAACTTCTACATACTATGTCCTTACTTTAGTAAGGCTTCAGAAGTTGAGTTTTGAGGCTCGAAATCTGCTAACTCTTGGGTAAGGTTAGAATTTGGCTCAACAACGGCACGAAAACACAACGATTTTTCATGCTTCAAACAAAATATCTGCCGAAAGAGCTCATTTTATTTCATAGCCTTAGTAGAAGCTGATTAGAGTGCGTAAACCACAGAAGAACAGACGTTTTTAGAGCGCTTGACTCCAAAGCATTTGGAGCCATCTGGAATTAGTAACGCTCCTCTTTTGAACTGCACTGGCTTCACTGTTTGGACTTTGTTTCAGACTTTGTTATAACTCTACAAAAAATTTGGACTCGAAAAATTACAATTTTGAATGAAAAATGGACCTTTTTTTTGAGGTGTTCGTATAAATATGAACCGCTAAAAATTCGCACTAGGCGCAAAAAAAACATTCCTAAGACTGCCATCGATTTCTATTCTTATGAATCATATACCGTTTTCGCTGTGCTCTTTCGCGTGGTGGCATCGGCTTTTTGAGTTTCTTTCAAAAAGTTTAGAAACTTTGAAAATTAGGGTGTTCATTTAATTATGAACCGCACTTTATAAGCTGTGGTTTCCGAGAAATGTTGAGTTAAGCGCGAAAAACCCGAGTGAGGAAAGCTAAATTCGATATTTCTCGTGAAGAGCTTATGGAGAGCCAAAGTAGTACTTCTAAAGGCTTTTAATAACGACTATCAGTGTAAGAACAGCGCAGCACCACTTTGGCAAAAACATGGAAATTTTCGGTTTCTTGATTTCTTGCTGATAAAAAAATACAGCAACAGCACATATGAATGTCTGATATGGAATGTATATGCGTGAGCAAGTGGGAGATCTGCACGACTTTTTTTGAACGAAGATATGAATCGAATCTGGTGCAAAATCATAAGCGCCATCTTATAGAGCTTATTGCTTTGAATTGTGGGTATCCTGATGTTTATTTAGGATACGGTATGTGACTTATTACAGCGAAAACTCAAAAATGAAAAGACTTATGGGACAACCTAATACAAATAAATACTTGTTTTTTCTCCAGTATTTTGGAACAATACTAGGTAATTAAACGTAGATATCTGCTCCAGGAAACTTGCCTGCGAATGTTCCTCAAAAGGGTTGGGATCCAGGCTTTCCTGGAAACGGCATATTTTGATTGTATTAGGTTGGTGCAAAAGTAATGCGCGTTTTTCTAGCTCTTGCTTCAGGACAACGTTTCTCCATCAAACTTTCTTCTTTGGAAAACAAAACTTATATGCTTTTGAGAAGCCCCTTTCATGCTTTATCCAATGATGGTAGAAAGGAGCTTTTAGCCTTATTCGTTAGAAGTTAATAGAGCTTCATACAACTGCACTCAAAACCAAAATTTCATTGCTTTTTTGGCCAGAATTCGAGCTCGAATAAAGGCATCCTTTCGAAGTTTTGAGAATCGTATTCAATAGAAATTGTCTACATTACGCATACTTTACTATTTTCTTAAATATAACCTAAATTGAGATTTCGGCGCCTCAACATGGGTAGTGGCTTTGGCCATTCTGTGGCCCATAGATTTCCTTTGAAAAGGGCAATCGCCAAAGTTTTGCTAATTTCTGTAAGTGTAAGAGTGGACCCCCTGTTGACAGTTTTTGCAGAAATGTAGAAGCTGTTCAATAGACTGAAAATCAAAAATCTCCATATTTTAGGATTTTGAGGCCTACGAAAAAATGTCAAAAAAAGCGGACAATTTTGGATCTTAATTTCCTTCCTTTTGGCAAATCTTCTTTTTTGAGCCCCTTCCGACTTTTTTGTACTACTGGCTTGCGGCTACAAGACAGACTACTTATCATTCACATCAACAAATTTTGAAGGGAGTTATGATTAGTTTAAAATGGGTTCAAAAAAGTTTTTTTTTACTTATCAATCCATATTTCTGTGTCCATTGGGGATATGAGCATAGGTGGATGTGCGCTGTAAGAAATATTTGACGCCTCTGATAGTCTTTACCGCACTGGAAAATGTGGATTTTTTAGAAAGTCATAGCACGTCAAAGTCGCGAAACGTGCATTACTTTTGCACCAACCTAATAACTTTTGATAAGCTCTACTGATTCATGCATTCATTACGTTTTCCATCTCTTTTTCTTCATTGAGTAAAAAAAATTGTGGACTTCAGAATTTTGGCATTCGTTATGTGTAATGATAGCCCTAGTCAATTATTTGAGCTGATGTCTTTGCTATGAGGTAGATTACATCTTGGTCGCTAAATTTATTGGCAAGAGCCTGAGCACCAACAAAGAGTATAACTACCCTATAATAAAATACAGATCAGTTCCACAAAAGTTTGAAAAGCCTAGGGCTTGCATCAGACAAAAACCCTCGTAACGCTCCAGAAGTTGTGAAAGTTGCAAACCAAATCCATTTGCGATTCTCACGTAGATTGAACAGTCACTTTTTCTTTCGAGGATTTTCTTGTATAATTGCGACCCTATTAGTAATTGAGCCATGTACGGACTTTTTGAAGATTTTTTTGAAATAAAGATGGCCTGTAGTCAGCCGCAGGCTAATTTACTGTAAAAATTGTTTGCGAAAAAAAAACTTCGACATATTAGGAATCTTACTCCATTCTTTGCGTGTGGCACAGGGCTCGGTACAGGTGACTCCAGCTTGGAAAACGAAGTCCATTCTCGACTTCGCAACGCTAATACTCGTGCTCTGCGGTGAGCTTATAGAGAAAAGCAATAGAGAAATGACATAGAACGCTAGAAAGCATCAAAAAATATTGGAAAGAAACAGCCATGTTCGTACTGTTAGATTGCGCATGTTATGTCCGATGCGCACCAATGCGCGCTTGGAGCAGGTTACTGCTACCGTTGCAGAATTTTGGAGGCTGTAAATAAGCGGAGAAAACGGTTTTAGAACCAGTTTAAGGAATTAGAGGATAAACGTCATGCAAAAAATCAAAAAATTATGTGAAGGAACTGGAAAATGAATTCGTTTTCTCTGCGACACTTTAGGTGGCTCGCCAGCTGACTCCAAGCCATACCTTCGATACATAGAGCCACGTACTCTGGTAACCTTCACTTTGAGTGTCATGAGAGGACACAACCTTCACCTGGAGAGGAGTACAAGTCATCCGGGGCGAAGCCCCGGATATTATGACATAACTAATGACTAACTATGTAAGGATGAATGTGAATGAGGCAAATATAGTAGTGACATCCAAAGAAAAGCTCAAAAAACCGAAAAATTGCGTTTTCATGGCCTTTTTTGCTGAAAAGAGGGTTTTTCTTCAAAAATTCAGTTAGAAATTAGGATAAAACTTATCAGTTAACCTTTCTATAGACTGCGATTGAGCGTTGGAGGTTCATGAAAGCCGCTGGAGTTCAACAAAAACGAGAAACTGCGCTGAAATCTTGCGCAGAGAGTCGCCACATAAATGCTGGTCTATCTCGTAATGGAGTGAGATTCAAGACCCGCGACGTTGTCAGTGCTCCTGGCCGTGTCATGAGGATCACAACGTTATATAATATTATAGGGTTTCGTTATGACCCCGCGGAGATCAATGACCAGAGCCAAATGCC